TACCTGCGTTTAGACGACCATGCACTTTCTGTCTACCTGCGTGGTAGTGGTTCGCCACACTTATTATTCTGTCTACCTGCGTGGCATACCGCGCTTTCTGTCTACCTGCATGGTAGACCGCGCTTTCTGTCGCAAGCCTTGCAGCTGCGTCCGCTGACTGCACCGAATTGCGCGCAGAGCATTTTGCAAACGGCGGCGCCGAGCAGCACAGCCTGGCAAGGCCAGGCTTTGACGGTCCCACTGCTGCCGCTGGTGCGCCTCTGAGTCGTGGCTTGCTGTGGAGTGAAAACAGGGCGACGTGGGGTGACTGACTGCGAAGAGCGAAGAACGGTGGAAAGGAGGAAACTGGTATGAGGGGGGATGACTGCGGGGTAACTGCGGAGTGACGCCGGACAGGGACAGGTTTTCAAAATTCTCTACCATAGCCGTTCTGGCCTCTGAGCACTCCGGTAATTCGTCGCGCTCGGGTCAACATGGAGAGCCGGGTGTGCCACATGCGCGGAGAACGGTCAAGCCGCTTCCATAACACTTTCAGTGTAAGCCTTGCCAGAACTTGGCGCAATTTGTTCGCCGTTGGGTGGACCAGCCCTCAAGCCCCGCGGCTTGCTGACTAGACAGAAAGGGAAGCTGTCCAGCTCAAATTTCTGCAATCATGGCTCCTTCCTCGCGCGCTGGAGTCGAAGGCTGTATAATGGAGCGCCAGCAGCGCAAGCTGCTTGGCACCAGCTGTCTTGCACATCCAGCAGAAATTTTAAGATGCTTCTGTTCTAGAGGTGGCGGAAGTGAAGCTATGGCAACATTCCTTTCACGCAATTATGTGATATTGCTCAACCCTGATCACGCCTGTGTGGTGCGTGCGCTGTACCACGGGGATCGGTGTGGCTTGGTAGCACAGGTCGGGATGCCCTGCGGAGCAGAATGGTCCAAGACCAATTTCATGTCCTTTTGCCACTTCGCCCCAGAAGACGATTGCTGCAAGCCTTCGTGGTGGCTCTCCCTTCCAGCTTGCACAAATGTGTTCACTCACGGCTGACAAAATTCGTACCTTGCATTGAGCGTTTGACTACACACGCAGATTGGTAAAAAGTGTTGCCGCTTCACTTCCGCGGTTGTCACAGAACGTCTCTTTGTGAAACGGTCGTGGAACTTATGTGAACTTAAAATTACTGGCCGTTAACTGCCCCTAAGTTCGTCAACTTAAGTTAACATAAATTCCCTGATGTTTGTCAAGCTAACATAAGTATTTCATGCTTATCGGTATGGCCCGGAAACACAACCATCAGGGCCCGTTCGGGCAGGATGCTATCACACACCAGTGTCCTTTGTGTTTGTCCCGTTTAGTTCGAATATACCAGTGCGGGCCTATATATACCAGTGCCGCTTTAAGACACATCCTGCGGCACTTTGCCAGCGATGCCCCGGTCTGTTGCGCAGGAAAAGCCACCAAAACACGACCGTCACCCCACTTGCGATTGTTGGAGGCTGATGGAATTCCAGCCGGGCCGCCCTTCAGCACCAAAGCCCACGCCATTCACGCACCACCATGATTCCTGGAGCCCTCTGAAACACGGAGCGGGAGTCAGAGCACGGACACAACTCGAACAACACCAATACATTGATGGCCGAACCCAGGAAACACGCGGCGTTGAGATCTTTCTCCAAAAGAAAACCAAAACGTCCCCGCAACACAAACTACAATTGTTCATTCTAACTACGAATCAAGGCTGCCGATAAGACGGCGCCCAGAGTATTCAATTAGATGTTGGCACACCAACCCTGCTGAAGACGCAGCCTGTCCTGCTGCTTCCCAAGAATGATTGCATGGGTGAACTCCAAGAAAATGCAATCCTACTCCAGCTTTGGTGCCGATGGTAGGGGGAGGATGGGGAGAGAGGTTGGGAGGGTTGTCCAATTTGGAGCGACTTTAGCTGGCAAACTGCAAGAACAGTGAACCAAATCAAACTCATTCCGTCATATGCCAAGGTCACTCATGTTAAGCCGTGTCTCGATAGGCCTTTGCCGCCAAGCTGCTTCAGCACGGTGACAGCTGTGCGACTGCAAGGCCCGTGGAGAGGGATGCACGCAACCCACCACTAGTTTCTTGCTACTAGTAGTTTCTTGCTACTATATAGTAGCGATGCACTTGATAATGCCAACGCCGAGCTTCGCTGAGGCAGATTGCACTAGTTCGCAGCGAATTTCCCAGCGCTCCGCTGGCGATTTGTGCAGAGGCTCGGAATTCAGATGAAACACAGCCAGTGTCTCCTAAGACAGCCATCGCTAGGGTGGAGGCCATTGCTAGGCAATGACGGGGAAAGGTGAAAAACAACAGGGTGGAGTCCACCAAGCGGTTCTTCAGGCCTTGCGCAGAGGCGAGGGGCAAGCAGCAGCGTGCATACTCTTGAAGGATTTCGAGGCAAGGGCGTGCTTCCTTTGGCAAGGTGCCTTACTACTAGTAGCTTGTTACTAGTAAGGCGCTACTAGTAGCAAGAAGCTAGTTTTAAGAAGATTGGGGGGGAAGGTTGGCATTCGCCCAAGGACAAAGTTTGCAGCCTGGTCACCGCCCTTGCACATCGAGTGGTGAGCTCTAGAGGTGCCCGACCGGGAGAAATTCAGAAGCTAAACCTGAGCGAAGACTGAAGCATGGATTTTCTACGTAACTTCAGAATTGTTGAATTAGAATTCCAACCGTTTTTCTCACACTTTGACAAATACTGTTGTTATGCCAAAGAAGGGTTGCAGGGCCCAAAGTTGAGAATTACCACCATGGGTAG